ATATTGGTCAATAGTAAGAAAAGGTAAGAGCAAAGGAAGATAACTACCGTACTATAGCTCTTCATAACATATTTGCAAAATTCACTAAAGAAATCATGACGAGATTTGTCTTTAAAGATACACCAAAGTTATTAGTACACTGTTCAATTACTTTAATGACCTTACAATGTCTTACATACAGAATACCATTTCATTCGTAACATATTTGCAAAATTCATTTAAAAATCATGACAAGAATTTTCTTTAAAAAAACACCAAAGTAAAAGCGGACTATCCAATTGCTTTGATATGACTATACAGTGTCGTGTATATGGGATACCATTCCATGAAATGGCCCAGTGGGTATTTGCTGCTTTTACAATTATGTCATTTCTTTCTATACAATACTGGACAATACCCCTCACGGGGTGTAACCTCCAGGGGGTCAAAGCCCTAGTGCAACCGGTAATGGTGGTGTAAAAAACAAAAAAAAAGCGAGGCAATAATATGGCAAAATATTTGGTGCACTACCTACAAAATCAAAACGAAAAAGTGAAGCTGTGGCCGTCATCAGTGTGCCATTAGCACGCTGATGTTACAAGTACGATTTATGGTGTCATCTGCCATCGTCGCGTCCGCAGATGGTCACTTTAATTGTTTCGGCGCCGTGTTTTATTACGTTGAGTTTGTCTGATGCGAAGTACTAGCGTCAAACAGCACTTAACACATTATCACATACTCACAGAATAAGATGTGCAAATCCCTTGGATTATCTGATGGTCACCATTAGATAAGGTATTGCAGACGGAGAAATAATTCACAATTAGGCATCTGCTTTGCATCTATCCATTTCAATTCATAAGTATGAGTGTTTTGTCAAATATTTTTACTTTCCATAATGTACAAGTGGCGGGGAGAATATAAGTTTCATACAACGTTAACAATTTATTCCAATTCATTTGTAGTGATAAGAATAAGGTGAAGGCCATCGAGGTAATGTAGTCCTTGAAATTCATGTGTGGGAAATAATAACAGCGGGAGGTGGCAAGATGCTCTTGTGGTTAGATCCTAAGCTTCTACCTGGGTTCAAATCCCTGGCAGGCTCCAGTGGTGTGTCCTTGGGAATGGTACTTAACGCCTATAAATATATTTCCTCACTTGACACAAGTGAAAATAAGTATTTAGCTTTGGCTACGAAATATTTCAATTTCTCTCAGGATGTAAAGTCGGAGGTCCCGCGTTTGAGGAGAACACAGGCTGGAACTGGTTTATAGCTCTTTAATTTATTTACTTCAATGAGGTCGGCATGTACAAGATTGTTTTCAAATTTTACAATATACTCATTTTCACCTGAGCGAAGTGACGAAAGTCGTGTAAAGTGCCTTTCCCAAGGGCATGAGATCGGTGGCATGTCAGAACTCGAACCCGAGACCTCTTGGTTCCGAGCACTCTGCCGTTATTAATTACGCCCACGACCTCATCTACTTTTGACGTGAAAAATGGTAAACCATCCGAAACTCTTCCTTTACATCTTTTTTCTGGCAGCGTTTTGAACTGTCCTACAGCTTACTGATAGATAATTATACTTCAATGATGTCTTCCTGTGTAGCATTATTTTCTCATCTTTTCCCGCTTCATCGGGCGTCTGACAAATGGCGAGTTAAACCACTCACCTGTGGCCACCAACCAGGGTGTAGAAAATGAGGTTCCGCTTGATGGAACGCTAATGCACTTATAAACTTCATCCATCACTGTCAACAGCTCCTAATCATCAAATGCTCGAGAAAATTGGTTCTAACAGAATGAAGGTGAACCGTTCATCATAATTTAACCCTACCTAGACCGGGCTTTTTTTGACATGGGGGGACCGGGGGGGGACTCTTTTGACCCCCCTAAGAACTCGCGAACGGTATGTCGTATGACCACCAAATTTTCAGAGAATGGTGTACTAGTGAAAATTTATCATATCTACAATTTTTATGTCGTTATGACGTAATATGACGTCATTATGACGTCATTAATGTGATTTTATTGGCCAAAACCGTCTAAATAGGTTTTTCCCTGAAAACCTCCCTGGTATACAACATAACTTTACCAAAAGTGTTTATGACAGAATATTAGTGTGTACTAAGTCTTATGTTGCCCATAGCAACACCTGGTGACGTCATAAAATGACGTCATGCATATTTAAGATATCCGCCATCTTGGATCATCAATCTTGAATTTTCAAAAATAGTTTTTTTTCATGATAAAGCCTAAAATACATTGTAAACATACTAAACACCTTCATTCAAACCTTTTTCGTAAAAAGAAATGGAAGTTTTGATGAAATTTTAATGAAAATAACCCGTATATACCTGTTCTAATGATATGGTCCGCCATCTTGGATTTTGGCCAATGACGTCAATCAAATTAGCATAAATTATGCATATTTAATGATAAAATTTACATAAAATTATATGGGATGTTATTAATATTAGAAACCATGAGTAACTTGACATGAAACTCATAAAATTCTAATGTTGAAACAAAAAGTACTAAATTTAGCAAAAAATGACCTGTCAGAAACCCGTTGCCATGGCAACACAAAAAAATTATTATCTTATTCCAATGATAGAGAATTGTTGCCAACAATATTTTAGGAAAAGTCACCAAGTTTGGTCGTTCTACGGCTAGCCGTTCAGACGCTAGGTGACATCAAAGTTGGCGCGGGC